CAAACCGATTTTTACTACAGAACTTAGCAAGCATTTTCGACCAGTATGGTTTCCTCGTTCCCACTACTATCACCGCAAAGATAATGTGTCAAAGCTTCTGGGTACGGGGAACAGCATGAAATGGCAATATTCCTGCAGATGTGCAGAAGAAGGGGGACAAATTGTGCCGGCGGCTTTCTGAACTCCGGAAAATAACAATCCCAAGAATGTTGGCTCACGTTCTCGACTATGACAGCTTGTTCACAGCTCTAACGGAGGCAGAAGCTGTGGTTAATTTACGTCCTTCGACCTTCATCTGTTCGGATGCGGGAAACCTTATGCCCTTGACTCCTGCATTATTCCTGGTCAGCCACAAACTAACAAGCCGGCGTACTCTCCTATAGAAACCGCGGGAGTGAAATTGACCGCAAATAGGCAGATCTAAAGATGGAAGCAGCGCAGCATTCTTGTTGACTTATTCTGCTGACATTGGAGACCCAAACATCGCCTGCAACTGCTTTCCGAACTTGTAGTAAAGACATATAAAGGAGGAAGCATCAATAAAAGAGATATGGTTCTCTTCGGACAGGACAGAGCTTCTCGCCAAATGTGTAAACTGTGCCGTGCTCTGAAAACTTTCCCAGGAAGAGATGGTTGAACATGCGCTTGCCAAATTTTTCTGCCTCAAAAAGGGGAACTTCGAGAAAACAAAAGGAAACTAGTGCAAGCCTTGTATCCGCTTGAGCTCAACGCCTAAGCAGCCGCCATGGGACAAAGGCAACCAGGAATGATCGTGTGCTCATTGCGAGGGAGGATTTCAAAAGTTCCGAAGGCTTCGTCCTGCCTTTGCACAGCACAGACGCCGTTGAAGTTCATCTTCGCTGCCGAATTTCACGAGTCGAGAAGAGAGCCGCCAACACAAAGCCGATGAGGGCGAAGGGAAACTTGCCCGCACCATTCCCACGGTAGCCTTCATGGGATCGGCTCAGATCTTTCCTTCTTGCCATTCTGCGTATCTCCCTATTACCTTCTAGTCCCCTTCAATAAACTAGTCTTGAAACTGTTCCCAGTGATTCTAGTCACTCTTTTCTAAGCTCCTGCGTGCGCAGTCCGAACGGCCTTGCTAGTTATCGCGCAGCAAAAAATTCGAGTCACCCGAAGAAGCTTAGAGTGCAAGCAATCATTTACATAGAATATTCCGCTACACGTCGTGCGTGATTGGCACATAGCGCTTAGCTAGTTGCTTAGTGCAATGGACGCGTCTTTACGTGTTATGTTCAGGGTGCATATTGTTTGGTAGTGCGGAGGGGGGGGCACAGAAAGGTGTCTCGATGTCCAGAGGTATTTCGGTTTTCTGGTCAAAGTGTGAGAAGTACAGTACGCTGAGAGCGCACACGAGATGATCATTCTGACAAAACCGTTCGTATCGCGGTATACGTTGAGCTTCAATGATTGGTCTATAGTGTTGTGAAGTCCTAGGTTACTGAGTTTCGCATTGGGCGTAGATATGAGGGAATGCAGCGCGCACTGATAGCAGTGCTTTACCATTGTATTTAGTTTCTTTTTTTTTGTCTGTAAGCGTAAGTTTCCTAAATGCACCGACGTAAAGTATTCTGCTTATAGAGAAAGCAATTACCAGTCAGACGTTATTGGCCTCTTTTATGCCGTGATCTTTATTAGCAATACGCGAGATAAGCTTAGTAGTCTGGTAGGCATGGTTCTTGCAGTCGTTGCAGCTTGCACTGGAGGCGCAATGTGGAGTGCTGGCTTCTGCTCTTCTGCTAAACTTTTCTCACTCTTTCTTGCTCTATTTTTCTTCTTTTTTTCCTCTCCGCTTTTCTACCATTTTATCTTAATTTTTTCTATTTCTTACTAATTCCCTCTCATCCCCTTTTTTCTCTCTCTGTATTTCTGACTTGCTTCCTCATTTTTTGTTCCTTTCTCTTTCTTTCTTTGTCTCACTCCCTCTGTTTATCGCTCTCTTCTTTCTTCCCCCGCTTTTCCTCTCTCTGTTTCTTCCTTTTCCTTTATTTGACTCTCTCTCTCTCTTTTCAAATTGCTGTCTAAATGTTTTTCTCTTTCTATCTCTTCATATGCTAGGCTTACTCTCTCTCTTCCTCCTTTCACCTCTCCCGCCGTGACATCTCTTCTCACCACCTCATTTCTCTGTCTTACCCCTTGATATTCGATACTACATAAGGCTGTGCTATGACCTGTCAGCGTGGCTGGATAGCCGAGTGGTTAGGAGGCGTTTCTCATATCGTGGGTTTGCAGGTTTCAATCCCGTGGCCTCGTGCGGAACAGTTGCTGCGTTAGGGTTCCCCGCTGTCGCTTCGCACCCATTTGTTAGCCTAACTGTTGCCTTCATTTTTAGTTAACCAGCGGTTAGCAGTGAGATTTACCCAATTTATGTGGCACATACACTTTATGATAATTCTTTTCCTGTAGGCTGTCCTGGCACATACCCGTTAAACGTATGATGGTTTTATTACAGGCCGCAAAAATCAAGGCTAGCTTGAAGAGCTTCACAGTTAAGCCTTGAATCCAATGTGCTTAACTGCCGAACTACCGGCTTCCAACACAACCGACACTTCTATCGTTCCCCATGCAATTAATCCAATTATCGTCATTTATCGCATGTTGATGGTCCGCCACCGAGTATTCTCGAGCCTGTCAGGCACGCCTTGGGTGTAGGAAATGGCAACGCCTTCATAACGCCGTGGGATGAATGCGGTAGGGCAGTGTGGTGTGCTTCGGCAATTCTTCCCTAGATGCATCTTACCCGCTGACTTCGCGCGTCAGGAGTTAACAGGTGTCATGACTGTTCTAGTAGTTGCAACGAACGTAGTCGTTTAGTGGCTATAGGGCTTCGCGACTAATTATGTATATATGGGATAAATGAGAGATATATAAATAATTTAGGTTACAAATACAAATTTTTGGTATAGCAAACATAATCAGTAGCAATGCAAAGGTGTAATAGTAATGGTATAACTACATATGTAAATGAATATTCGATGAGCAAGAGTGTTTATATTCTTACAGTATTTAGAGAAACCTTGTAAATAGGTGAAGGCTAACTATTCATGTGTACAGTTAAAGAAGGCGCCTAGTGTTTCCAAGTAAGAATTGTGATTCCGGCGAGCATCCTTTACATAGGGAGAAAAAGTTAAATAGCTACGGGCAACAGGGGAAAAGTAACTCATTATACTGTCATATGGCTGACAGGAAATAAAAAGTGCCATGGAATCACCACGCAAGAAAATAATAATGTTGCGTGCTTTTCTGTGCCGTTAACAGTGCATAGTGCGATACACCCTGAATGGCGTCTAGGACGAAGGTGACGGTGTTACATGAAGAACCATAATTTTCTATGTAATCTGTTAACTTTATAATATATAACCCCCATTATTCTAAAGCTTCATACTATTTTATAAAACCACTCGATTTTTGGTCAGTACTCCACATTGGGTATGCGCCACAGGTAAAAGGTGAACAACAACAACAACAACAACACAAAAACAGAAAAAACAACAGCAAGAAGAAGAACAACAACTGTACTGTGGCTTGCAATCGACACGGCGGTATGGCACAATGTTTTGGCAGAGCTGCGGAGTACTTTGTTTTGACGACGAAACTCCACAGTGGACGCCTATCGCAGTCCACTACCATGGCTCCGGCTGAAGACGCACCTCCATAAACTATAACATTACCGGCAACAACTCAGTCTGTCGCCGTAACGCAACCCTGTAATCGCGGACCTGGTACCTTTTTGGGGGAAAGCAACATAGATGTGGGCAAGTGGCTCAGCATGTACGGTCGCATAGGGAAGCAATATTACTCGGATCCAACCGTTATGTGTGTGAATGTGATTACCTTGTCAAAAATCTTTGTCTGGTTTGATATACATGAGCACGAGTATTAGCACGAGTTAACAACCTGGAACACGCTGCTCAAACAACAGCTCCGCGACCTTTTCTACAAACCACTTGGACAAGCGCTTGCTTCTCGAAAACAATCGGCCATACGTACTCAGACGTCAACTAAGCCATACTTGACCTATATTCAGCACGTGCTATAGCCTTGTGGCAGAAGACCATACAAGTTGTCCGAGGCTGACAAGATCTTTCACATCTTAAAGGGTTTCGCCGACGATGCGTTCCACCTGCAATGACCATCGATGCCATAATTGAGGAGTGTCGCCGCCTGGAGCAAGCGAACAATTGGCGCATTTCGCACCGTGCAGTTGCATCTCCACAACACCGCTGCAATTTCGTCTTGCGAAGAAAGCCTTTGTCAGCCGTCTACACCTGAAGAAGTGAAACGCATCGTCTGACACAAACTCAGGGCTGTGTGCTGGCTGCAAACAAACGAACGTTGACTGAGAAACCGTAGTCCAATGTCCCCTTGATCCAGGCCGCTGACCACCAGGAATTTGCTAACATGTGCCTGTTTTCGATTTTGTGTACTATGAACAATAACGATGCCTCTGTAGCCTTTGTAGAGACAAACGGGCGCTTAAACCGCTTAAACGAGCGTTTAAACCGAACCCTAACAGGCATGCTTCCAAAAAACGTGTAGCCCAATCACCGTGACTGTGGTCTTGCACGGCCATACTTGACGTTTGTATACAACTCCTCCTGGCAAGAAATTGCTGCATACTTACGGTTTTATCTATTGCTTGGACGTGAGCCAACGTTGCCATTAGATACATTCCTGTCGCCTTCTGCACAGTCGAACACAAAATACGCTCACGATGCTATTGCTCACGCTGACTTACCCGCAACAGGCTAACGACTTTTAAACAAAGACAAAAGCACCGTTACGATCAGCAACATTTTGATGAACGATTTCAAGTGGGTGCTCTCGTTTTTCGCTGGTTCTCAACGCGATGTGCCGAGCTTTCTGAGAAGCTACGTTTTCGTTTCACGGGCCTAGACTGCGTTCTTCGACAAGTAACAGGCGTTACGTACGAAATTGTCCTGGACAATCCACAACAACGTCGCCTCCGGTATGACGTCATGTCTTCCGCAAACCAAGGCTTAAGCGTTACCACCCTCCTCGTACTGTGACCCCATTGACGCGCCTGGTCGGCACTTTTGCCGTTAGGAGTTGTCTTGTGTGGCTTTCACTGACGTTATAACAGTGCATAGTCTAGAAGGAAGGCATCTGCTAGGAGGAAGTCGAAGAAGTTTATTTTCGTGTGTTAGCTTTGTCGAGGCTTGCGACTGACTCAGTGTTATCGCCACGTGTTCAAATTTGACGCCAACTAACGTGCATATGCATGTATTTTTATTCGAGTAGCCGCACACCTTTGTTGAAGATTACTTGAAACTGGGTACGCATATGAACTATACATAGCAAACTAAATTAGTTTGGCATACTTTTAGTTCTTTCAGTAAGATATACGGCTAGGACCCATTGGTTTAGTGTGAAGAATATGTTTTGGGATATAGTTCAACCAACTTTTGTGGAAATGTGGGAGTCATAAAAGGTTGAATATAGTTTAAACTAACAGGATTTCACTGCTATGCACCTCATTTAAATGTTGTTAGTGTGACCACGTGGTAGTATGCTTTCATTACGAAGCTCGTTAAACTCCTAAAAAGTATTAGCACATAACCATCCCAATTGTAAGACAGTGAGAAATATGATAAAACTAATGCATAAAGCATGTACTAAAGACGTGCTATCAAGGTCCGCCGAGCTAGTTGGGCTTTTTAACAGCGTTGTTTTCGCCCTGGTGATAACGCAGCAACAATCTTTAGCTAAATCTAGAACGCTTTCTCATGGCTGTCAAGAGACTAACACCCTCCTAACATTACGTGGACGCAGTACTTCGCTCAGGACCTACGGCGGTTCGTGGTGCTTAGCGTGGCGTTGCTGGCGGCGCTCGCGGTGCTGGTCCTGCTGGCGCTGGTGCCAGCCGAGGCACTCTTGAGGCGCTGGGCACTACCACTTGGTCTTCTCGGCTGGCTGCTGCTGGCTGGCCCCACACTCGCCTGGACCGTGGCCAAAGAGCACATCTCGCTGGTGGACCCCCTGGCCCCAGCTTTTGTGGCCGCCTTCCTGCTACACGTCCTTCTTCCGCTGAAGCAGCTGGCGTCTCTGCTTATGGGCCCGGTGACCTCAGCCGGCCTGCTGGCCACCACAGCGCTGCTCGCCGACTGGGACACGCGCCACTTCGGATATCAGGTCAGCAGCCGGGGCTCTGTTCTCGCGTTTCCTTTTTTTGGCTTCTAAGGGCTTCGACAACCGTGAAGTCACGTGTGTGGTGAATTTCTCATGTTGGACACAGTCTAAAATATACTAAAAAGTGCCCACCTAACTCTAGCCAGAGCTTAAAATATGCCGTCGCACTCTGTGACCACGCGCTCAAATGCATCTTGCTGACTATTCATAGAGGAAGTCCCACACTTTCCTGCTTCATTGATCGATTTGGTAAAATTGACTAACCAATTTTTGAAGCAATGAAGCGGGGCAAAACATTTCAGTATACCTAACTAAGCAATAAAGTGGCACTCATAAATTAGTCTGACTTATTTCATGCAATAGTCAGCAGCATGCATTCCGCCACGTTTTCACTGTGCGTGTCGTCATATTTTAAAACTGCCTATAGTTTAGCTTGCACACCATAAATAAAAAACTAAAAAATATTTAAGGGCACAGAACGTTGCTTCCATGCGCAAGTTCAATGAAGAAGATGTGTGAGAACGATGTTCAACTAGTCCTGCGATAATGCAAATTGAGAAAATGATTATCGACTATGAATCATCTCCCCGAACGGAACCCGGATGCTAAGCAGCAGCGGTGTACATGGCGTTGACCCGGTTGAAACGGGCGTCGACGCGGGTGCGCGAAGAACGTATGAAGCGAAACTGGGTGTAGCGTTTACTTGAATAAATATTTGTTTGAAACGAAAAGACACCGGAGGCGGGACGCGTTGAAGACGCTTGCGCTCGGCTTTTTTGGCTTAAGTCTCGACTGGTGTTACATGTGCGCCATCTGTATTCTCGAAAGTGATCAGTGTTGTTGATTCGCACCTCGTCGGTGTCGCTGGTGTTCCACTGCCAACGCTTGCCTTCGGCTTCCCAGGCTCGCGCCTCGTCTGTGTGGACGTCGCCGTTCGCGAACGCGAATGTCGACGTCAACACCGACGTCCGCACTACTCCCCTCGCCACACTGCTCCAACACTTGTGGCGAGGGAAGCGGTGCGGACGGAGGGACAGCGTTACACAGGCTAGTAAAAGAGCTGCTTCGCATCTAAAAATTGAACGGCCTGCAGTGCCTTTCTCAGGATTTCACTGAGGGTCTTAATTTAGGTAATATCACCGTCAGATATATTGTCAACACAACATATGACTGACTTTATGCTTCACCATCCCCCCATATACCAACCCTCGTACATATTTCTGGTCTGCGTAAATCATCATCGGTTGCACGGCTTTATCTCCATCCGAATACGAGAAGCTCTACGAGGATAATACTTTCCTGGAAAGTGGCGGATTCTTATTAGTAACGACAACAGGGAAAAATTCTAATACCAAACGATTGCGGTAAGGAAAAATTCTTCATTGCAAGTTTTCCGTGATTATGCGATACATTGTTAAAAACAATGTAGACTTTTTAGAGAGAGCCACTACTTTCCCAAAGAAAGTAAGACAGGCGTGAGATGTTCTTACTTTGTAGTGATCTGATACCCCAGAAAAAAAGTTCGTGCGCCAACTTTTGATTCTAGAACTTTCTGTGAAAGTAACGTCGTTCAGTTACTACGCACTTCTAGAGGCAAAAGATATATTTCGTGAAGGAGAATGAGATCCATGCTTTTTTTTGCCGATGAAAAAGCTTTCCTGATTTGTACTCAAAGTTCACAGCCTGAAAGTAAATTACGAATCTTATGCTTAAGCAAATAACGCACGTGCTCGCTGCCTCGCAAACCAATTTTGCACGTTAAAGAACCCCAGGTGGTCTAAATTTTCGGAGCCCTCCACTACGGCGTCTCTCATAATCATATGGTGGTTTTAGGACGTTAAACTTCACATATAATTCAATCACAAACCAATTTTTGCAATCATGCACGCCTATTTGTGTGAAGACCTTAAGCGAAATATTTGAATCACAACTGAATCTTGATATAAATAGGCAAGATGAATGCCGCAATGCGAACTCGTCGGGTGAATAGTGGTATCTGTAGTTCTGAACAAGAAAATGAAAACGTGAACTCATGTCCTTTATTTATTGCCTCGTTGCGCTCCAACTCACATGGAGGCTTCATGCCATGGGCCCGTGTCGAGCGCCCGATTTCATTACCTACAGCACAGGAATTCATCATTTCGGCTTCCATTGTGAGCCTCATGCACACAATATTGGGAGTAGAGATTTATTTCTGTTGATTGAGATAGGAACGATTTCGAAGATATGAGCGAATATAAATGTCAAGTTCAGCCCATGCGCTCGGGCGTAAAGCAATGTTCAACCCCGATGCACGCGCCCCAGAGCTCAGTGTGTTCGTCGAATGCCTATAATTTCAATTTGAAGTTAGCAAAGCATGCACAGTTATCTCGTTTTTCGAAATTTTGAGAAATGACTCATGTTTATCTGGTATCCATGTTCCTGAGAGAGAGGGTGTTTTTGACGCACTCTTGGAATGTAATTGTAAAGGGTTTCACATGCATGTTAGTTTAGAGCGAGGACGCCGTTCCCATCCGGTCTCTACATGAGACTGGAAAGGCAGTTAGGTAAAAAAGAATAACCGCACGTTTTCAAAAGCTAACAGATATCATGATTATGGGTTTTGGGGGGAAAAGCGTTTCTACATTAACAAGCACCAAAATATATGAACTTCCACTACAGACTGTTTTAAATGACATTCATGAACATTACTGTCAGCATGCATGTTTAGAGCAAAGGACAAATGCTAATTTCAACATTCTTACGCTATACTCTCGTGCCGAATCGCATAGGTGGGCTAAGTTGCCTTACCCCAGCTATACTTTAGCGGCACCATCGGTGCGTGTTCCTGTGATATAATTTACGTAAGTAAATTACATGCTCTGAGAATTGCATAACCTGTTTGCCTTGGCTGCTGACCTGAAGGTCGAGGGTTCGAATTCGGCCACGGCGGTCACATTTCGATGGAGGTGAAACGGTAGAAGCCCGTGTGCTGTGGGATGTCAGCTCACGATAAAAAACACCACATGGACAAATTTCCGAAGCCCTCCACTACGGCGTCTCTCAATGATATCGTTGTATTGGAATGAAACATCCCACATATCATTATATTATTATGAGAGGTGCATATTCTATAGGTTTAGTTTCATTTCTGCCTCTTAATATCAACGCGATGTCGCATGTTTGGTTATCCGTGTTTTGTTCTTCAATTATGCGCATTACTACATACCGGCCAAATAACGTTACTTCTGGGTAAACTGGTGTGCGAAAATGCAGACAAACGACAACAGAAAAAAGAGACAGACACAAGCGCAAAGTTTCAACTGAATTTACTTTTTCGTCACCCTTCATATATATATATAGTCACATATAACAAATTCAAGTGGTCACAAGGTCAGAACCAAACATCTTACAGCAGGCCGCGCAAAAAATCCCGCTCATTATCAAATAATAATATTGGTGTATCACTAACAAAAGTGTTACCTCTTGCAGTGATATAAAAGTCTCCCATCAGTTCACGGGCTGTGATATCAGCACTTGGAGCCAAAATCCTAATCTCTGAGAAAATCGGTGAGCCCTTGCAAGCTTTGCAGTGCATGGGCAAATGCGTGATCCCGTTATTTCTAAGTGAAAGCTCATGTTTCCTTGCACAGTCGTTTACACAACGCCCCGTATGCCATACGTAACATTTCCCACAAGACAGCGGTATTTCGTAGGTGGTGCCAGTCGCAAATTTCACATACACAAATGCGTGTTTCTTTCCGCAACCACTGGATCTCTTCTCGCCAGAGCAGATTCTGGGACAAAGCCCAGCCAGCTTACGTGGGGTGGAAAACACAATCCGCGCACCGTGCCTATTTGCTATCAATTTCAGGTTGTGGGAAATGCGATGCCTATAATGGAAGCCTTTTATATCGCTGTCAAAGGTAACACTTGTGTTAGTGATACGCTAGTATCATTATTTCATAGTGAGCGTGATTTTTTGTGCGGCCTGCTGTAAGATGTTTGGTTCTGACCTTAAGAGAGCTTGACTTTGTTGTATGTGACTATATATATATGAAGCATGACGAAGTAAATTCAGTTGACAGTTTGTGCTTGTCCCCGTCTCTTCTTTTCTGTTGTCGTTTGTCTGCAATTTCGCACACCAGTTTACCCAGAATTATGAACCAACTCGCCCAGCTACAAGTTTTAGTGAAATAACATTACACCCACCATTTCCTGATTCGTCACGTGTTCATTCGTCACCGAAACGTGCCCTACGCGATACATAATCAGTTTAAGAAGTAGCGATGTGCCCATTAGGCGTTCTTGATGAAGTATACGCTCAGATACGCAGCTGCAAACTTTCCTGCTTATGCTGCTGCTGATGATGATGAAGGTCGTGATTATCAGTGATGCCTGAGTGCTTTGTAATGGGTGGCCTTTTTACCCGCCACTAGTTACTTAAATCGTATGATGTGACTTAACGCCACGCAATACTACACCTGCTTTCAGGAATGGTTGCTCTACATTGCACCTGTATCTACGGCATTTTTTCTCGAAGCAGTTTCAAGCACTTATTCTGCTGTGATAAAACATCCAATTGGGATCAATTCCAGCTCAGAAACCAGCTTTCAGTTCTTCGCCTCTATTAATCTTTTTCGCTCACAAGAACCGCCGCTGATGCCGCCGTCGGCACCAGTATTTTTCAGGGCTCTTCAACCCTTTGCACTGCATTTTCGATGGAGGCGGAAATGTTGTAGGCACGTATGCTCAGATTTGGGTGCACGTTCAAGAACCCCAGGAGGTCGAAATTTCTGGGGCCCTCCACTACGGCCTCTCTCATCATCTTATGGTGGTTTTGGGACGTTAAACCTCACAAATCAATCAAATCAATCAACCTTTTGCAGTCTTAAACCTTCACGCACGCACTTTCTGCTCTTGCCGGTGTGAAACCAATGAAACCAAAACTGAAGTAATCCCTCGTACAGTGGGAATTGATGATATGCAAACCACAAATGGGGAAGGTTGATATGACACTTGCA